TCGGCAATTCACAGATATCCTTCCCTTCCATTTCGATGTACATGATTCTGGCCAGGAACCGACTTTACATGTACATGCTTTTTTTTGTTTCTTCTCTCCCATTTCGGGTTTTATACAAGTTCAACATTCCTCTTATCTCAATCCGCAAAGTGTAGATGAATTCTTAATACCAAATTCACATTCATTCATTCATATTCACTTTCTTTCTGTTTTCAAGAGCTGTAGTTGCATTACATCTATAGATGCATTATAAACCTAAAGAAATCTAGACGAAAGACCAACGGGTTCCCCATGCTCTCCTACGGTCTTTCTCATTGATATATGTCTATATCGAGGGACCAATTCTACTACTATAAGTTCAAATGGAATCTCGACAGTAAAGTTAGAAGTATACCCATGGAGGGTGTATTAGAATATGTATGAACCAATCTACTGAATGCAACAAATAGCAAAGAGCTGAGCCAAGTGAATTAACAATACAAAAAAATAGGGGATGGAAGACACAAATATTTACAGACGAAACGCTCTATGTTCAGAACCACATGTGCGCCAGAGCATAAGGAGAAGAAGAGCTAGAAAGTTAATAATAACCCGGTGCTAATTCAATTGCACATAGTTGGCTAAGTTGAATGTTAGCAAATGCACTAAAATAAAAGAACTGAAACACTTACCCGGAAACTGGCCCTCCCGACCTGCAATTCGCCCAGACCACCATTCATTGGTATTTTCAGTGCGCTGGGTAATCTCGATCACATCACCAGCCGAGAATCCCAGATCACCGTGTGCCTGGGCCTCGTAGTCATAAAGAGCGGTGACAGTCTCAACCGGCTTACTGAGATGGGATGGCTTCGCCCGTGGAGGAGGCGGGGCAGGCTTGCTCTTGGCGGCGGCAGAGAAACTACTGCCTGTCGGACTGGGACTGACGCCGGCAGACGAATAAGGTGGTGGAGGGTTGTCATCGGTGGCGGTGGATCCGGAACGGCCTCGGCCGATGGAGCTCTTGCTATCGGCTCCCTTGCCCGGAGGGCCCAACTTGGATCCGGAGCGGCGGACACCTTGGGTTTTATAGTGCACGATAGTAAGGGCTTCGGCTTGCTCCTGAATATTGCCGCGCTTCTGCTCAAAGGCCTCTTCAACATCAAGTTTAAGATTGAAATAGCTGATATTCATGCCCTGCATTCGTTCGTGAAGAGTGTAGAAGACATTGAGTTGCATGTAGTAGAAGGACTGGAAGAGTGGGCGGATGAACTCGGCTTCGAGGGCAAACAGCTTGGGCAGTTCGTCCTTCAGCAAATCGTTGTAATAGTTAAACTCCTGGGTTGCCTGCTCAACATCGTTCTCGGCTTTGTATAGTGCTTTCTCGTCTTTGAGCGATTTGTCCTTCTTCTCTTCCAGCTTCTTCAGTGTGGCGCTGCGGCGGTCAAAGTCCAGTTTTTTGTGATCACGCTTAACCGCAACCTTCCGAATCACTTTGATCACCTCGAGCAGTTGGTCGGCAGGGCTGATAATGCGGGTGTCGATCATCTCCAGCTCGGGGGCTAGGGCCTCTTGCAGTTCCTTGACGATGACTTCATATTCCTCACAGGCCTGGATGCCCTCGGCATTTCCTTCAAATTGGTATGAGGTGGGATCGGAAGCGCGACCGGAGATGGGTTTGTAGATTTCGGCGATTGCTTTGGAGAATTCGATTTGGTGGCTCAACATGCCTGCGCACGCGGTCAGTAACGAGGTGTGTAACGAGGTTTGAAAGGCAGAGGATTAAAAGACTCTCACCATTAATGGCAGCAAAGTATTTCTTGGACTCATCGTGTAGCTTCTTGGTCTCTTTCTCGAGCTCATCAAAGCGACGTTCGGCATCGCTATAGACAGCATCCTTGGTATGCTCACCAATGTTGAACTTGACCTTGAACTGTTGTGGCGCACGTACAATGCTCTTCTGGAAACCTTTGAAACTCATGATGTGAATAAGATTAAGGAGAGAGGTAAAGATGAGAGAAAGTGCCAAGGTGGGGGGAAGGGAAGAAGAAGAAGGGCGAACCCGAACCTTTTCAATGACATAAGACTCTGCCAACGTTGTACGGAGCTGATGCCCATTGTGGCTGTACATATTTCGCTTTTACATATACTATTTCAGAACTAGTATCTTGAACTATTTTATACGCTAGTATTCTGCCTTATGATCATGTGGCGCATTATGTTCAAAATTAGGCACCTGGATTATTACTATCAACATAGTAGTAGTTATTAGGCGTGGACATACTATGGAGTATTCTACTACATACCGTACCTAGGTAGCTTCCTATGCTCGTTATAGAGTATACATACTTACCTATTATAATAGCCTAAAACCTCGAACAGCTACATACATCTCTACAATCTACAAAGCGGTTTCTCCCCGGCAGCCTTACCCGAGAAAATCCCAACTCCAGTCTGATCGTCATCATTGGACCATCATTCATTCCTTGGGACGTGCGGGGGAGTCTCTTGGTAATTGGAATGTGAGAATACCATAAGTCGGAAGATGGGTTTAAACCAATTAATAGAATATCATCATAATCGATATAAAATAGTCCTGGAAGTGCTGGAAGTGCCGGAGAATGGAGAATATATCTGAAAGGGGAAAGCTCATACCTCGGTACTGCCTCAGGCATCACGGATAAACCCAATTGGGAAATCCCCGAGATCTTTAGTCATTGAGAGATGTCGCCCCGGGCGGTGATAACAAAAAGTCGGGGTTGTGTTTCCTTCTTCATCCCACTTACAAGGCTATCGGCACATATCATCTTCATAATGACAAGTGCTGTTCCTACTGCTTGGAGACAGGCCTCTGCCTTCTCCAGGCGCCTTTCAACCTATGGTTCTCGAGCTCCTCGAGTCCTCGCCACCGGGCTACGCGGTGCTCGGTCTTATGTATCCGAGACGAAAGTTGGCCAAGCTCAGGTCAATATCGAGACTGCCATCAAAGAGGAACAAAAATCATTCATGAACCAGTCCCATATGGCGCCCCAGAATGTCAAGCTCCCCGGCTCGGCAACCTCTGGTGACGCTGCGATGAGCCCCTCGGCCGGCATTCTGAAGCAGGCCACCGTTATGGACCAAGGCACCCGTCCCATCTACCTCGATATGCAAGCCACCACACCTCTGGACCCCCGGGTTCTGGATAGCATGCTTCCTTACCTCACCGGTATCTACGGTAACCCACACTCGCGCACACACGCCTATGGTTGGGAGTCGGAGAAGGGAGTCGAGGAGGCTCGTGAGCATATCGCCAAATTGATCGGGGCCGACCCCAAGGAGATTATTTTCACAAGTGGTGCGACGGAGAGCAACAACATGAGTCTGAAGGGTGTGGCGCGGTTCTTCGGTCGCTCGGGAAAGAAGAATCACATCATCACTACCCAGACTGAACACAAGTGTGTGCTCGACAGTTGCCGACACTTGCAGGATGAAGGATTCGAAGTGACTTACCTGCCAGTTCAGAACAATGGTTTGATTCGCATGTCGGATCTTGAGGCGGCTATGCGCCCGGAGACTTGCATTGTCAGTGTTATGGCTGTCAACAATGAGATCGGTGTGATCCAGCCAATGGAGGAGATTGGTCGTCTCTGCCGGTCCAAGAAGGTGTTCTTCCACACCGACGGTGCCCAGGCCGTTGGAAAGATCCCGTTGGATGTCAACAAGCTGAACATCGATTTGATGTCGATTTCCAGCCACAAGATCTACGGTCCCAAGGGTGTTGGTGCCTGCTTTGTGCGTCGTCGCCCGCGTGTCCGTCTTGATCCTCTCATCACTGGTGGTGGACAGGAAAGAGGTCTACGCAGTGGTACCTTGGCCCCTCATCTGGCAGTGGGCTTTGGCGAGGCTTGCCGAATTGCCGCCCAAGATATGGAGGTAAGCTTTTTCTCCCCTCTTTTGTTTTAAATTTTCCTATTTCCATTGTTGCCACGATTTTTATGCACTGCAGTAAACGTCTATTTGGAATCCTTGGGACATTACGTGTTCTTTGGGCATGGTACTCAACTCCGATGATGTCAACTGCAGGCATGAGCTGGCAGACCGATGAACTTGAATTTTAGCCCCATCTTGGAATGATAACTGACTGATCGAACAGTATGACACCAAGCACATTAATCGCTTGTCTAAGCGTCTGAGCGAGGGCCTCCTTGCTATGGAACACACCACACTGAATGGTGACCCCGAGCACCACTACCCTGGCTGCGTGAACGTCTCATTTGCCTACGTCGAGGGTGAATCTCTACTGATGGCGCTGAATGACATTGCGCTGTCATCGGGTAGTGCCTGTACCTCTGCCTCTCTGGAACCTAGTTACGTGCTGCGCGCTCTGGGCAGCAGCGATGAGAGTGCCCACAGCAGTATCCGTTTCGGTATCGGCCGATTCACCTCGGACGAGGAAATCGACTACGTTCTCAAGGCTGTCCAGGCTCGTGTATCTTTCTTACGTGAACTGAGTCCGCTTTGGGAGTTGGTGCAGGAGGGAGTTGATCTGAACACGATCGAATGGAGCCAACACTGATCATATTAATCTTGATTTGAGAAAAAAATCCCATTAGGGATGGCGTTGAAGTGTAACAACATCGGATTTGTACAGACTGAGAATAATCACCTCGCAATTAACTACTCTTTACCTTTTCTCTTTAAGCCTCCGATGCCTTGCACGTCACCCGCATTGCCTTAAGCTTCTCTCTCTGGGGTCATAAAGAACATCTGAGCAAGTTTTGCAAGGTTTGAAAGTTTTATAGCCCTCAGGTGATCAATTTTTAAGCCAAATGATGTTTAATTAGCCCCGAAGTATTCCTCTCGGCCCAAAACCCCCATAATTTGAAGGCGCTTCTACTTTTCAGTAAAGAAGTTAAAAAGGATTTATCTACCGAAAGTCAATTCACAGTTTGTGCTTGATTCCCGTCCTTTTAAGATGATGGCCTTGGTTGTGGAAAAAGAAAAAAAAAGCGCAATTTAGATAGAAAAGAGCTACACCGATAATGCATCTATTCCTCACCCTTGGCGCATTTTGGAGTAATGTGGCCGCTGTAGCTGACCACCGACCCCCTGAGCTTCACGTCGCGACCTCTTCTGGCGTTGTGAACGGAATATATAACGATTCTGCACGTACTGTACGGGCATTTCTTGGAATCCCATATGCCGAGCCCCCAGTTCAAGAGCTGCGATGGGAACCACCACGTCCCAAATCACCACCCGGAAGACCCATCGATGCATCTTCCTTCAGCAGTCCCTGTCCACAGGTGTATACGTACTCCAATGAATCGATTTATAACGTTGTTCCGGCTACGATATGGAACTCTGCCGACATGTCTGAAGACTGTCTGTATTTGAATATTTGGGCACCTTCTTTCAAGCGTCGAGGCTACCGGGGGCTGAGCAGAGCAGCAGTCATGGTGTTTATTCATGGAGGAAGCCATGACATAGGAGGTAGTTCTGTTAGTTATTACGATGGCACGAAGTTAGTACGGAATCAGGATGATCTGATTGTTGTTACGTTCAAGTAAGGAGACGAGACGTCGAGTTTGTCCATTCACATCACTAAACTGTGGGTTAGTTATCGACTCAATGTTTTTGGGTTTCCTAATGCACCCGACATCGATTCTTCCAAGCAGAACCTTGGGCTTTTGGACCAGGTAATTATTGAAAGTCTAGGTTTGATATGATAGTATGGATGAACTAACCAGATATTTAGCGATTGGCAATCGAGTGGATTTATGAAAATATAGCCAGATTCGGTGGTGATCCAGATAGGATTCTTCTGTTTGGTCAATCTACCGGGGCTTCTTCAGCTGATATCCATTCATACGCAGTGAGCACCGCTCGATATGTTGAGACTTTTCAACTGTCTCCAAATGACTGACCTCTGATAGTACCCAGACAATCCTATCATTAGCGCAGTTGCTCTTCACTCGGGCACCGCTCCATTACTGACTTCAGCTCCGGATCATCAAAATTGGAATAAGCTGTCTATTGCGGTTGGATGCGGCGTAGGAGCCGAATCCTTCCAATGCATGAGACAAGTGCCAATGACGAAGATTGTCGAAACAAGGGCCAAAGGAAAGTATAGCTTTTATCCCATTGTGGATGAGGTCCTCGTCTTTTCCGATTATGCCGCCAGAGCTAAAAAGGGGAAATTGGCACCATTGGTATGAACTTGACGGTGGTCTTTCTTTTGGGTATCTTCCTGGGCTAACCTTGTTTGGAACCCTAGCCAACATTGGGAGGGAGCAATGAGCGTGAAATCACGGCTTTCTTGCCGCTAAGTCAAATATTCGTTGACGAGACAAAAGTCTCTGAGCTCAGTCAAATGATTTATAACTGTCCCCTCCGGGAATCTGTGAGGTAAGAGCCGATAGGATTCTCTCTTTGAGCTGCTCCAAAACTATACATACATGGATTGGTTTTAATATTCATTTATGGATGTAGGATTCGATTGAGTCAGCATGTGCCAACATGGAGGTATCTATACCATGGGAATTTTAGCAATGTCAGCCCAGTTGCATGGCTTGGGGCATACCACGGGTGTAAGAAGGAACCGAACCAGCCGTTTTCTTGTTCATTTTGATTTAACCGCATGATAGCTGAGATACCTATTGTCTTTGGAACCTATGATAAGTTCAGGGCGATCCCTCCGTCTACCAGGGAAGTTGAAGTCAGTGAATACATGCAAGGTAAATCCCTTTCCAAGATCAAAGCCAGGCGTTGCCTAGATTAATGAATTTCCTAGGAGCCTGGGTTGCATTTGCCAAGGACCCTAGTATGGGACTGAGTGAGTATGGATGGCCACAGTTCAACTTTGATGGTAAATGTGCTGTCTTATTGTCCATTTTTCTCAAGCTGACTATCAGATAGAGCCCACCTTGGTCCATCTCGCCCTGAATAATACGGTCGAGGCGAAATTTACCTCTGCCAGTCCGTGGGATACATCTTGTGAAGCTCCCATTCGATCCGAGTTATGAGTTTTTGGGTATAGGTAACTAGTTAGTTATATTGTGGTATAATGATACTAGGTACTAGGTGTTTTCGGACTCGTTTGAAATGTGTTCCATATTATTATTTACCGAGCTTTGCATGTATATTTGTAGGTGAGTGTGATACAGTGTACTATGTACCTTGGGGGTAGATGCCTTGTGTATTAGGCATATAATTATATATATTTATATATATATATTTATGTGTGAAAGAAAAGAAACAATAAATGTATACTATAAATATAGAATATAGAAAATAAAATATAAAATGAGGTTCAATCTAAATATCAGCCATGCATTCCCCCTCAATCAAGGTTGACGATCCTGAGTGAAGCGAAATCGAAGCCAAATTTAAGCGAAAAGGCGAAAATGCCCGAGAATGTCTCAATTCCCGTGTTTCTCCCGGGTTAAGCCCCTTTGACTCGCACTCAATTTCTTTTTCGCTTAAATTGCCACTCCACTTGGCATCTTGGCATATGATTTTGATTGTATAGCCATATAAAATCTACCTAAAATCTACCTAAAATCTACTTAAAATCTACCGAAATTACTATTTGATCCGACTATACTCCTCTAAAACTTCCCCAGGGTCCTCTAAAAAAGAACATCTTTTCCCTTTTTCCCCTCTTTTCCTACTCTTCCTATGTCGGAGTTGATCAACTTAATGATTTTATCTTTTATTAACCCTTTTTGATTAGAAATGAATTTTTGGGGATACTTACCTTCCAGGGATTCCCGGTGAAATTACGTGCTCTTTTGAACTCGGATGAGAGGAAAAACTCTACTTATTTAGCCATAGAATGTCGTATATATTATTATATATTCTTATATATATTCTTATATATACTACGGAGTAACTGATTGGAATCTTATTTCTCTTCCGTCATCCTCCGCAGAATTTAGCCTGGGGAAAGTCAAGTCATACTTTTGGATCCGGATTGTTCCTGGTTTGATCTTTGATCTTTGATCTTTTGGTCTTTCTATCTTTTCTATCTTTTCTATATTTTCATTCATTTGCATTTACCTTGAATCTCTGAATCGTGGCAAAGGGACTATGTTGCCTCCCGTGCCAAATCCCTCCGAGTTTGGAATCACTCCCGACTATGGTTTCCTCTCTCCAGAACTTCCCTTGGAGGTTCTCCCCGATCCTTATTATGCCGAATGGGAGAATATAATTAGAAATCTCCATCCTTTGATATTAAGCAAACGTCTACAGTCTGTGGTACATCATCTCCCTATACTTTCTGTTACACACCTACAGACAGACCCCGAGTGGCGTCGGGCATATGTCATACTGGTCTTCATACTGCATGGCTATGTATGGGGTGGCAATTCACCCACAGAGGTATTGACTCCTATTGGTCTTCAAAATGAAATTAAAAAAGATGTGTACTAATTTTCAAAGAGGATTCCACCTCAACTTACAGTCCCCTTATTCCAAGTCTGTGAACGACTCGAATTACCTCCCGTGGCAACCTATGCTGGAGTTTGCCTTTGGAATTACAAGCCGATCTTCTCCCACGAGCCAGCCACCCACTTGGAAAACCTAGCTTGTCTACAAACCTTCACTGGGTCTCTAGATGAACAATGGTTCTATCTAGTTTCAGTCGCCATAGAAGCACGTGGCGCCCCTTCTATCCCCGTGATGCTGAGAGCCATCGCCGCGGCCCGCACAGGAAACACCCAGATTGTAACCGAGTGTCTACAGCGACTAGCCGAGACCATCGATGAGACCAACACCTTGCTACAGAGGATGTATGAAAATTGCGATCCCTATGTCTTCTACAACCGCATCCGCCCTTACCTAGCCGGAAGTAAAAACATGGGTGATGCCGGACTGCCAAACGGGCTACTGTACGACGACGGCCACAAACCCGAGTATCGACAGTACGGAGGAGGCAGCAACGCCCAAAGCTCCCTCATTCAATTCTTCGACATTGTCCTCGGAGTGGAACACCGACCAACCGGTACAAGTCGCAATGACAATCCGAGCACTAGAGACACCAAGGCACGAAATAGCTTCATCCACGACATGCGCACCTACATGCCTGGTCCGCATCGACGATTCCTGGAACAGGTTGACTCGATAGCAAATATCCGCTCCTTTGTCGAGGCGCGACGTGGAGACTCGGCCTTGTGCATGGCCTACGACGCATGTCTCGCCATGTTGCGCGTTCTCCGCGATAAGCATATCACCATTGTCTCCCGCTATATTATTCTGCAGTCCCGCAGTGCACGCCAGCCGTCTCAGCCTGTCAACCCAAGCGTCCCAGCGACGACGAACCTTGCAAGTGCGGCTCCAACTGACAAGAAGAAGCTGCGTGGTACCGGTGGCACGGCACTCATTCCGTTCCTGAAGCAAGCTCGGGATGAAACTGGGGAGCCTGCCATTGATGTCTGGGCACGACGGCTGCTGAGCAATGGCCCTGCAGATAAGAAGTTTGCTTCGCTGAGCAAGGTTGGCGAGCAACCAGATGGTCATCTTGAGGTTGTCGGTCTCTGTGGTACATGGACAGCTGAAGAAAATGAGGGTGGAATTTGTCACTGGTAGTGGTACACATTGTTTTCTTTCTTTCTTTCTTTTTTGGGTTTAATCTTTCGAGCGTGGCATTGCATGTGGATTTATGTACGCTGTACGCGGCGACTTGGGGTTTGGGAACTTGCATTGAACTTATGATTATTAGTATGGTCTATCAACTAGGTGCTGTGCAATATAAAGGATATTTATATGTGCAATATAAAGGATCTTTATATGGACAATAGTTCAACTTCTTCTGTGCATGTACAATATCCAACATAGTAGTCAATCCAACTGATCCCTGCAGACCTGGAATTCACGTGATATGACATCATCTGATGACGTAGTTCATGATAACTAGTTTGTTGAACTTCAATCTTGGAAGTTCAGAACAGAGGATTTGCATAGCATGGATTATGTATATAAGGAGAGAACTTTCTGACTATGACTTTCATTCTTCAATAATCTATCATCTCTTCACTACTATCTACCATCTACCATCTACCATCTACCATCTACAATTCAATCACCATGTCTGACACCGGCAACGCTTCAACTGGTCAGTCGTACATCGACCAAGCCACTGGTCTCGCTCAGCGTGCCATGGGAACCGTGACTGGCGACTCTTCCACTGAGGTAAGCATCCATTCTAGTCCCCCAACTAGTCCCAACTAGTCCCCCAACATCATACCACAATACTAACTATTTCAGACTAAGGGTGAACTCAAGCATGAGGAAGGCCAATCCAAAAAGGATGCCTCCCACACAACTACCAAGTTAGGCTCCTTCACCGCCGACCCAAACACCGGAGCCGTTGCCAAAGACGACCCCAAGCGCAACACAGGATCCTGGGACCAGACCGTTGGCTCTGCCAAGGAGTCGGCCGGCAATCTGATCGGAAACGAGAACCTACGTCGCACGGGAGCCGAGCAGAACGCCGTCGGCAAGGAACAAGAGGCCAAGGGTCAGCTCAAGGACTGGGGTGAGGGTATTCAGAACCGCGCACAGGGTACTCTTGGATCCATTGGTGCTGCGGTTACTGGTGACCGCACCGAGGAGGAGAAGTACCGGGATATGCATGACGAGGGTAAGGTCCGTCAGCGCGGTGCTGAGGCTGATATAGCTAAGAAGGGTGGTGCTTAAATAAACTTGACTTGCATGGAGATGACATGACCTCTTGGGTTTGGGTCTTCTTTCTCACACTTGTTTTACTATGATGACTTTTTACGATGGTCTTGTTATGATATCCTAAATTGATGCTACGTTTTTTTTTTTTTTTTACTTGTAACTGTAACTGTATAATATAGATGTAGACAAGTGTTAAGCGGGTGAAGCCACCACAATGACCTGTAGTACTTAGTCTTTCAGAACTCTGCCTCTTTCTCTTTCTTTTTAGGAGATTATCGTATGTTGGATATTCTGGATATACATGTGAAAGTTACAGGGATCTGTAATAGATCTATCAAGTTTCTCTACGCAATACTACGATATTTACTACATTTCCCCGCAAAGGATCAAATTCCCCGAGGATCTGACTGATTGACATCTGATTCTGGCCGAGGTTGGGCTAAAAGATCTAGAATTATAGAAATTAATTTAAGCAAATGATTCCGTGACTGGATGTTGTCTCAGACTAATGCGGAGAGATTCGATCGGCGGGCCAAGCAGGTTAAGCATTTGATATACTCTACACTCTGCCCTATCTAGACGGTACAACCATTTCGTCCCTCTATTTTCTTCTCTATACATTTGAAAAAAATGAAACTCACGACAGTTTTCCTCTTTGCCGCAACAGCCTGGGGCTCTCAACATCATCACCGACGAGATACTACAGACAACGGCATCAACCTGAGTGCAATCTCGAGCGCACTGTATTTGACTCTTATTCTATTTGTTTTTTTTTTTTTTTCAAACAACCTAACACATTTACAGAGAGGGTTTGGTAGCCAACCAAACAACCACTGCAAATTTCGCCAACATATCGCCGCCGCCCAAGTCTCTCATCTCTGAGATTCTATCTGTTGTACCCGTATCCGTCATCTGGGAACTCATCAACCCAGCAGAACGCAATTCCCTTGCCAGCCAATTCAAGGCAGGCACCACCCCCGTCTGGTACAGCGCTCTCCCAACAGATGTGAAAAACTACATGTCAGTGGTCAAGTCGCAGATCTCCGGGGGAGCATTGACGGCCACTGCAGCAAATACAGACACTGCGGCGGGAGCCACTGCTACTGATTCCAATCCCGGAGGACCGGTGAGCTCGAGCTCGAAAGGTGCTGCCGCACAGCCGACGGGGCTGGCTGTGTCGGCGTTGGGGGCGATGGGAGTGCTTGGACTAGCATTAGCTCTGTGATGGAAGGATCCACATGATTTGCGTATGGGGTACTTTGTACAGAGTAGATATGAATATGACTATGATGAGATATGTCGAAATACAAACGACTCCAATTTTTACATATGAATCCAATTATTCTTTCCTTTTTCTCTTATCTTTTACTCCGTACTTCGTAGGTCTATACGATGTACGTTGGTGGAGTTCAAGGTCAGACTGTTACATTTAGCACATGCTTCTTTTTCTTATAGATTAAATTTTAATATGGAAGTATGTGAATGGCATCATAGTAGAGGGGAGAGAGTACGGAGTATACGAGTATACGCATGGTCCTTTTAGACCTATCCGTATGTATGTAGTAGTAGAACGAGATAGATGGCTTTTGCCGATCACTACTAAAGTGAACCTCTTCTCCGAAGTGGATTTGGCCAGAGCAGACATTGTGAGACAAGTAAATGTGAAAAAGAGAGAAAAAAAAGAGAAAAAGGGCAAAAAAGCAAAAAAAGGGGATCAATTCGACGATCTTCCAAGGGGCGAAAGAGGGGGAGATGCGGGGAAAATGTTCGTATAATGTGCGTATTGGATTCTCTTCTTCTCTTATTCGCCATTGATCTATCTCTCTCTCACATGGCATTGCTTATTCCCTCGGTCTCAATCTAAAATCGAGATCCTGTTCGGGGCTAACGGCCTCGGACAATTTCTTACTTTCTACGCTAATGACAGTTGCATCTACGGAAATCCAGGTCAGCTTGTTTATAAGGCACTGGATGTGTATACAACATACTATCTTCTCCTTTGTCTATTTCTCAATCAATCTAACAATCTAACAAATATAACAATATACCAACACAATGCGTTTCTCTCGGATTCTATTCCCCTTGGCCCTGGCCCCATTGGCTCTAGCTGCCCCCGAGGCTCGTCCCCATCCTATCGCTGCACCAGCCCCGGTCCCCACGGGTGGTCTACTCGAAGAGCTACCCGAGATTCTGAGCGGCGTACAGGGCCTCTTGACCACCGAAAACCTCAACAAGCTGGATACTATCCTCGACGGTGCAGCCAAGTTGCTTGCCGCCGATAATATCGATATCCTGCAGGACATCTTGACCAACGCCCACAGCTTGTTGACTAAGAGCTTTGTCGGGAACACAACTACCCTCATTGAGGATGCCACACCGGTATGTACTGCGCTTGCTGCTTTTGGTTTGTTTGTGTTATACTAATACACACTATAGCTGGTTGATGATATCTCCAAGCTTCTGGGTGGTATACTGGGATCATTGTGAGGGGGCTTGATAAAAGGAACGAATCATGACAATTACTATAGCTATCTTGTTTTATTGCACAATTGAAAGCATTTCTTGAAGGAGTACATATGTGTCTACATGGAAATACAATGGAACCTTCAAATCATATAGAACAATCATGTCTCTCATTAACGGGTATATACAGAAAAAGAAATAATAAAAAAACTATAGAATCATTCTTAAACCTCCTTCCCATCCATCTTCTCCTTGAGTCGATCCTGGTAGAATTTCAAAGGATATGCCCGCCATTTATCAGGCATCGCCGGATAAAGAGCGACCGAGAAGCCCATCCAAGTGCGATAAAGAGCCCGAGTAGTCATTGTCGAGCGTAGACCGTAGGCATCACGCAGACTGGGAGGTAACATCTCAATCGTCGTCACCCGCAAGAAAGGCTTCAAAGACTGCACCCAGCGCGGCATATCGTTACTTTCACGAAGGTCCTCAGCAAACTGAGCCGCATCGGATGACACAGTCAACTGATGGACCTGATCATCCCAGTAAGACCAGAATGCCTGACGGGATTCCGGCCAGGTACCGACGGGGAGACCCAGACAGTTCACGAGCAAGGCATACTCGCTATATGCGCGCTGGGCACTGGCATAGTCCACGCGGCCATAGACCCGCTGATAGAAATCGGTCGCGGTCGCGTACAGCGTCGCTGCCATCCACAACTGTAGTGGTGGATGCTCGGCGAAACGATTCGAGCGACCGCTGCCCAACAGGGGCGGATTACCCTCCTGTAGGAGGTCAATGAGGACTTTGCGCTCGCTGCGAGTACCAAAGACTAAGCAGGAGATGTAGCTGATATTGGCCTGGAGAGCATCGATGAGTTCGGTGGCGAGCTCTTTGTGGCCGCCGTGGTTGGCGCCTGCCTCGCGGATTGCCGGCATGGCGGCCTGTAGTAGCAGCGTCGCGCCAGATCCTGCAAAGAGAATACCCTCCTGGAGCATTTTGGGGAGAACCTCTAGTTGTTCCAGGGCATGGAGACGACCTGGGACATTGGTGATATTGCCAGGGGTCGCATCGGAGCCACTTGGAAGGTCATGGGATTTTTCGTCCACTGGGGAGACGGGGGATGAAGGGAAAGACATGATGAGAGTAGTTGGTCAATCTTGTCGAATAAATTTGACAAGAAGTATACGATCCCATTAATATCAGAATTCTTTTTCTTCCCCAGAATTCCCCCGCAAAAACCCCGAGGAACATCCCAACGTCTAAGGGTATTGATCTGCTCGGCCCATGTGAATAGTGTCGCCTTTTTTTTGGGAATAAGCCGCGGCTGGTAGCAGATCGCCATCTCCTGAAGTGCTGATCCCTCCCCTCTTCTGCGTCATTCGCCAAAGAAAGCAATCCTGCTCCGACAAGAAACCCGCTTTGTTCCTTTTTGTCTATTATTTTGGTCTTTTTGTTGTCTTTTTTTCGTACCCACGGGGGTCCCGCTTCGGTGTATGGGGAGGAGATGAAGTCCGGTGCTTTTGCGCTAAAAATTACATATACGCAGAATCCCCCCTTCTATTCTAAAGATCACTAAGTCGAGATTGGTTGCGATCATGGGCAAAAATATAGATACACCAGCATATCTAACTTCAGATGATGCCAAATATACTCTGGGTATTCATCGTGGGCCATTGATATCCAAAGGTGATGATGAAGGCGCCCAACTTGCACATGTCGAATCGGCTGGAGGTCTGTCATTGGAGACGAGAAAGTTGAAACGCACTGAGAAGTTCCAGCGCCATTGGAAGCGATTCTGGTGTCTGCATCTTTTGGTGACTATCATCTTCCTGGCGATTTTTCTACCTGTCTTGTGAGTTGCAATGCTTTTGAAACCTGCAAAAACGAATACTAATTGTAATTAATTGCAATTATAGCTTCCTGGTTGCCATTCCAGCCATCTCACAAATGGTCGTCAACAAGTCCGACTTAGTATTAGTCAATGCCTCGGTCCTAAATCCGCGACCGGACAAGATTCAATTGACCCTGCTGTCGGCATTGGACCTCAAAATTGCACTGCCAGTACGCATCGAGCCGATCACATTGGATCTGTTCGTGCGCGATGCGGGCGCAGACAAGGCATGGGGTCAGGCTAAAATTGACGGCAAAGTCATCAAGGGTAACACCACCCTAGGTGTGAGCAAGATCGAGACGCCACTGACCAACCTGGCCACGTGGGACGAGTATGTGCACAATGTTGTGTTCGAGAAGGAGACGGCGCTGTCGGTCAGAGGTGTAACCAATTCATATCTGGGTGTGCTCAAGTCCAAGGTCACCATGGATAAGGATATTATGTCACCAGGTAAGCGGAAGAAAAACATCATTTAAATGATATCCTAGAAAGGAAGAGGAAGCTGACTTGAGATTCCAGTGCTGGACCAATTCAAGAAATTCAGCATCTCCGACAGCGGACTCATTCCAGCCCGCGAAGACGGCACCAATCTAATCGGGAATGTCTCCCTTCCCAACCCGTCAGTGTTGACTCTTGATATTGGCACACTCGTCCTTGACGTGAAGAGCGGCGACCTCGTCATTGGAAATGCCACTGTCAAAGACGTCACCCTCAAACCAGGCGACAACGTCTTCCCTCTCACCGGAGTCCTCGATATACACACCATGATCGAGAATCTCGGAGACGTGCTGGCGTCACAGGCAAAGGCCATCAAAACCGGCAACTTGGCCCTGGACACCGTAACCCGAACGGTCACTTGGAACGGCACGTTGGTGCCATACTACACCAACGTGATGAAGCAGCTAACGCTGACGGCCAATGTGCCAATTGCCGATCTGATCAAGAACACTGTTCACAACCTGCTCAGCGGGAATGAAACCCTCACTGATATTCTCAAATCGGGGGGCGACACCAGCAAGCTGCTAGGCAACCTTTCGAGCGGTGATGACAGTGACTCCGATAGTTCGATACTATCCGAAACCTCCGAGCTTGCATCTAAGATGAAGACGAGCACTGGGGTGCGTGATATGTTCCGTGGCGCAAACCCAGTCAAACGGGAATTAATCATCAACTCACTGGCCGGATTGTATAAGAAGCTGTGAGATGATGGTCCCATCTCACTTTGACTTCTTTTTTTCTTTCTTTTTTTTTTGGCATGTATGTTTCCTTTTCTTCTCGATAAAGGTCTCCGGGTCCCGGGTTCATGATTTCGAGATGCTCGCTGATGCCTAGACGATAACTTGATTCCCCCTTTGGGTTGTGGCAATGGTTCTTTTTTTGGAAGGCGTTGTGGGCATGCGTTGCTGTCTTTCTATCTTTAGAGATGAAGATAGGTCTTAATGTTCTTGTTTTTCTTTTCCTGTCGACTCCATTCCTGGGGCAGTGCATGGGCTAGTGTACTTTTCCGTGTACATATGGCTGCGTGTCCGGGCTGAGTCGGTGCAGATGATAATGCATAAATGATAAATTATATGATGATATGAATGGATCTGGTCCTTGTGTTTATACGTAATTTTTAGGCCTGGATATTTTACTACAACAGGTTGACAAAAACACTTGATAATGAGCAGGTTTATGCCAAAGTACGAATAGATTGATCTTTGTCCAAATGACTTGTCCCAGCAGCTCCATATCTCTTAATTAGGCAGCTTACTGGATATTCAAATATTAATCAAGGAATTGAGACTCCTCTCTGTGGATGTCAGCCTCTTAGGGCTTCGTGGTTGGTATAGAATGGAGCACATACGAATATAGGACCGTGTTTACTACTTCAATTAATGCCCAGGGCACCCAATTAACTGCCAGCAACGCTCGATGATAAATATGAAATGAGGCTTGCTACCCAAGGCCTCCTACGTGCCCGTATCGTCATTCGTATTGCTGAAATGGATGCACGACCTCGTATACAAAAAGTTACTTTGAGCTGATTTAAAATTTAACTTGTTTTTGTATTAATATTGGTTATTGATAATGACCTGTCGGTCTATCTGGGCCTGTCTTGGTTGAATTACGGTACGAGACTCTTCCAAAATCAATCTCATATCTCATGCAGGTAGTACCCGCGTCTGATACCCATGTAAAAGGGCGGTGCTTCTTCCACCAAGTTGTTTGAAGGAAAATATGGAGGTGGTGGCTTCAGCGTCGGTGGGAATAGTTCCCTGGGAGACTGGTACTCTGGAGGGCATGTAGCAGTGGGAAGAGGCCCCGTAATAGGAATTCGAAAATAAGGATCAAAGCTAATGAGGATAAGAGCTTGCTGATTAGGGGGAAGTCCAGGGGCGTCGATCGAGTAGACGATCGAGCGTTCGTCTGCAACACTTTTCACAGATCCAGTGCGCTGGCCTGGACAGAGCAATGATTGTAATGCGGGCGGGGCATCGTCTGGAGGCCACATCCGCACGCCACGACACTCGAAGCGTTCCTCGGAACCTTCAACAGGACAGCCATATTGGTCCACCTGGGTGGGCTGGAACAGGCTGTTGGGAGGTCCCTCAATTCCCTCCTCGTCAATGGGACATTTGCGCTTGCGTGACACTGTACGCAACCGGATCCTATCCCGAGACCGTAGATTATCACCGACAGGGTCGTTGACAATGTCGACAAAGGTAGACGCACCGAGATGGTAGCCCCTGTGTTTGGTGCGAGCTGCGATGAACTCCTGTCGCTTGGTAGAGCCAGACTCGTACTCGGCATGGTAATGCCGCCGCAGCCTCTTTGCAGGTCGCTCATCATAGGGGTGATCGTTCTCAAGGTCATCATCCACAGACACCCACGAGGGAGTTTCGAAGGTGCCTCCTGAAAGAGGTGCTAGAGCTTCTTCTGGGGTAGGAAGTCGCTGTGTGTAGTATGTACGGTGGTTTTCGCTCTTGCCGTCACGCCACTCACGGCGGCACTCAAGTATGACTGGCCGGCCAGTCGTCTCATCCTTACGGATTGAAAGATCAGTCCACATCTCATTAATCGGGCCTTCTTGGTGTTCTCGGCGCCATAAGCGACCGTTCCATTTGCGGCCATCTTCACGAGGGGCGTGACAGAACCAATGGTAGAAAGAGGAGTGTATTTCATCGTCATCTGCGGCGACCTGGGTCGAAACTGCATAGAGATGTTCATCATGTATCTCAAAACACAACGTTTGCCCAAGATCACCATCGACCACTCGGTCGAGGGGGAAGTCAATAGACTCATCTGACTCGAGATCCATACCAGTGATAGACCATACACCATCCGAACCATCGGCAGCAGTAAATGTGCCAAACCAAATGTAAGATCCACAGTGCCGCGCAAAAGCCGGTGCGGCTGCTGGGATCTCCTCATAGAGCAGGAAACGTCTCTTGCCTTGATGGGTTTCCCGCCACGCCATATTGACCGCGAGTAACGCGTCTTCGGTCGCATTGATATTGGCCACTCGGAAGACGAGAATATCATCGCAGTAGCTCAAGAGCGTAACCCGATTTTCTGCACCGGGCTCTACGGGACCTGTTTCCAGCAGTCGAGGGATCGCCTCACGGAGGTCCATGACACGCTCCCTGAACGCAGGACCATGCACGTAAAGCAAACGAATCCAATGGTCAGAGCGGTAGCACAGATAGCCCTGGTTGTAGAGAAATTCGGCTCCATAGCCTACGCAGACCACCGAGTAAGGGTCTGCCATTGCAACAGCCTCATGGATAGCAAGCCGATGTCCGACGGCCTTTCGAAAACCGGACTGGGCCACTAGGGCAGCCTGACCTTCTTTGCTGTGACGTAAAAAATTCTGGAAACCGGGATCAGCCTTGTAATTCAAGCGAGGGGTTAGCTTGGGCTTACCTCGACGGTTTTCCGGGCAATCTGTTCGCTTTGTGACAGAATATAGAGAGCACGACTAGTGCGACTGAGGTTCACGAAGTCACGATCGTCCAGCGAGGTCGCGATCTGGTAAAACACATCAAATGGAAGAGTATCCAGACTCTGTATAGTTGTCATGATTATAAAAGTGGCCAAATAGTCTGTTGCAAGTACATATGGAGTCTTCAAGGGAGTGTCTCAGACAAAATGGCAACTGCCACAGGGGAAAAAAAACGGAAAAAACGAAGTTCCATATCTCAAAAATTTATAAGGAAGGAACGAGATTTATGTTCTAGAAAAGAAAGGAGATAACAGGGAGTGAGGCTCAATTCCCAAGACATCAATGGACGTCGCAAAGGGGAATAGTGCTACCATGGAATCCATGGTAACCCCCTTCGTACTAAAACCTTGGAAGCTCCAAGAGCCGCAACCTTGACCGAAAAAGGAATGATTTACCAACTGGAACCTTGGAACCTTCCTCGAAAAAAAATCTACGGCCGGCTAGGAAAGTAAGAGTAGATCCCCCCCCTCTTCCCCTCCCCTCCCCAGATCACGGAATCACGCAATTTGGCAGAGTCAGATCCTGTTGAGCCTCTTCTTTTTTTTATTTTTTGTTTGTTTCGGATTACGACCAAGATCTCCGAAAAAAAGGCGGCTCATCCGTCTCCATTAGGACTAAGACTCGTGACACGGGTTAGGTGGGGTCCGCAGGTCCGCAGGTTATCCAAGATCCCTTCCAGTACTCCGTAATCCTATCGGATCTTCGGTGCATATATGGCCCCCCGGGTAGCTAGAGTGTGAAATGAAGAGCTACCACTACTAGCGGTTACTACATGTAGTAATATAAATGATACCCGTGCTTACGCTAAGTTGTCCTTCATTAAACATTATGATAATAGTTGTTATTGCACTCCATACAGAGCCGCAATGACGCCTCTCTTCCAAGCCACCGCCTCAGAGGCAAATCTCACGTACGCCCTTTTATGCAGTTTGCCCTGGTCTATTCTTGGTCTAGTTCTTACTTACTCCGTACTTCGAAATATTTCTTACTTTTTAATTTCTTGACTAATTGTACTTGGAAAAGAATCAGGTGACGCATTTAGTCACATGATTAACGGAAAGTCGCTGCCTAACTTACAGCCTAAAGCTTTTTGTTTTGTTTCATCATTACATGTTAGATTACATAGTACACATATATGGAGTACTACTATTGGAGTCATTCAATGGGAAAAACCTGGATTAGAGTGATTTACCTGCAGCCCTAATGGTGGATCCCCCAATATCCCCCAATCTTGAGAAGTGTACGGAGTACACTGTATATAGTTACATAGAAATTGCCTAGGCACTAACATTTGTCTCAAAGGGAAAGTGTAAAGGTCCTAATTTGCATGACCCACCCAGTCAGCCGAATTACTTTTAAACTGTTCAACTTCAACTTCACCTTTCACCCTTCACCCTTCACCTTCTTTTCTTCCTTTCCATCGGGAGAGATTTATAACATCTTTGAAAAGATGTATTATCCACCTCCGGGTCCCCCTCCAGGACAAGGGGCACCCCCATGGGGAGGATATCAACAACCTCCCCAATGGCAACCCCCGCCTCAGCCCTATCCTCCTCAGCCCTACGGTTCTCATCAACCCCAATCATCTTATCCAGGTCCTAACCATCCCCCCCTACCCACCATCACCTTATCCTCAGTATCCCCAATATCCCCCCTCTCCTACCCCGCCATACGGCCACACTCCATCTCCTCATCCTCCCTCCCACCGGCATAGTCTGAGTGCGTCTCAAAATGGTAAAGTTCTTATACATGCCAAATGAAACATTCGCAACGGCACTAACCATCGAACAGGATTTCCTCGTGCAAATTCCCCGAATCTGCCCCCAACCCCACCCCAGAATTTTCAGCAATTCGGTGGAGGTGCCCCCTCAAACTACAGATTCCAGTACTCAGCTTGCACCGGTCGCCGCAGGGCTTTGTTGATCGGAATCAACTATGCAGGACAGCCCAATGCACTGAAAGGCTGTATCAACGATGTCACTAACATGTCCAACTTCCTGACTCAGAGATTCGGGTACAAGCGAGAGGACATGGTCATTCTCACCGACGACCAACAAAACCCGATGAGCCTTCCCACCAAGGCCAACATTCTACGTGCCATGCACTGGCTCGTCAAGGATGCCCAACCTAACGATTCCTTGTTCATCCACTTCTCTGGCCACGGGGGTCGTACTCCCGATCTGGATGGAGACGAGGACGATGGATTCGACGATGTCATCTACCCACTGGACTACCGTGACGTCGGTCACATTGTCGACGATGATATGCATGCCATCATGGTGCGTCCACTACGACCCGGAGTGCGATTAACGGCGATCTTCGATTCGTGCCACTCGGGCACTGCATTGGATCTGCCATACGTCTACTCGACACAGGGTGTTCTCAAGGAGCCCAACCTGGCCAAGGAGGCAGCTCAGGACTTGTTCAGTGCATTCACGTCGTATGGACAGGGCGATTTCTCCAGCGTCGCTTCGACGGCTATCGGGTTCTTTAAAAAGGCAGTCAACGGCGACTCGGCCCGTGAGCGCACCATCATGACCAAAACCTCCCCGGCCGACGTTGTGATGTTTTCGGGGTCCAAGGACACACAGACATCGTAAGTGGCGTTCACTTTAAATTTTCAAGGTCAAGAAATAAAAAATCTGAGCTAACCCCGGAAACAGGGCGGATACATTCCAGGACGGACAGGCGCGTGGTGCATTGAGTTGGGCGTTTATCAAAACACTACAGCAGTGGCCACAGCAGAGTTACCTGCAGCTGCTAAACACGATCCGAAATGAGCTTGAGGGTAAATACTCGCAGAAGCCGCAACTGAGCTGCAGCCATCCCCTTGGTGAGTTTTTTTTTTTTTTTTTTTTTTTTTTTTTTTTTTTTTTTTCTTTTTTTTTTTTTTTTAGTATGACGCCAGCCGACTGACTCGAGATAGATACCAACCTCCGCTTTGTGATGTAATCGGAGAGTTTTTTCAGCCTCTGGGCACTTACGATAGGCACGATCGAAATGTAGCAAATGAATCAGCTGAGATGACTTTCCGACCCCCGGCTCCCGAGTTACCGGTGCGGGGCAGAGCTCGTACATATCTAGGTTGCAACATTGTTGTAGTATTGTAAGTAATAACTATATAACTATGGCTATCCGTACGACATAAATACCATATAAAACAAAAGAACATGTATAATATAGTTCAATCATAGTTTGGAATACGATGCGCCGTCCCCCAAGGTCCAAACTTGTGGACTCGTTTGTGGCTATGGTTCTCTCCTGTGCTCCAGGTGGATCTCTCGGCAAAACTCAATGGGAAAATGGTTTCCTCCCTTATGTTGTAGATCTTATGTTGTAGAGACAGAAGATATCAATGACTATATAATTAATATTCTTTCCAATGTACCTTTTACCTTGTACTCAATAATAAATGTCTCTGCTATCTCTCCGATGTCTTTAATGTCTTTGTTTCATTTAGTTTCTATAAAAAAGTATAGACCCATGGCGCCATCCACCTTTTCCCCCCCTGAGCGGGAATCGGACCAATCAGCAATCAGGAATCCGCAGTTCCCGGTGGGAACCGTGGATGAACTGTATTTGCCCCTTGGTACGGAGTAAACGTGCTCAACACGGGGGCTATTCATCGTCTTTGTTGCGTACGAGGGGTACGAGGGGGATACCTATGTTGTAGGAATGCTTCTACCGTAAAGAATGTACTTAGTACCCATACTATGTGTAGCATTACGTCCACGGGTATGTAAGCGATCGTGGCTTTGTTCTGCCGCGCCATTGGATCGTAGACAACGTGTAAGATTTTTTGAGACATCGGATCACCCCACGGTCTTCCCACATGGACACAGTCTTCTATTACTGTTTATACAGCAGATCATACTGTAAATAGTAATGGTCAAAAGGTTCGAATAGCTAAGATCTGGAAAAGCACTGTAACTAATACTATAATATTAGTATTTAAAAAAACAGAAAGGAAAACAAAACAAGAAATAAAATTACTAGTCATCTAAGTGTTACGGGACTAAAATGTTGATGTCTCTGATCCACTTTTGGTCTTTTTCGGAATTCCATCAGAATACCCTTTTTTGGCCGTTTTTTTTCCCTCCCTTCTCTTCTCTTTTCCCTTTCTCAAAGATCTCATAGCCTTTGGAAGCCATGTTGATATCATCTGCAACAAACAGTTCCTATTCCTCCAGCGTCTCATCCGAGTCTCATCCTTCTCCATACCAACATCCCCCCACATCCACACTTTCACTGAACACCCGCCGAACCCCGATGGCGGTCAAGTACCCTCGGTTTTACTCCTCCCCCGTGGACCAGGAAACCGACTCAACCCCTCTTGAAGTCTACGGCTTAGAGCAGCGAGAACCCTCCATCTACGGCAAACCTCCCAAACTCCTCCGTCGAGTCTCGCACGTCCTAGGCGATATCCGCGAAGACATCTCAATGGACGCCCGCCAAACCACCGACAAGCTCAGACGTCGCTCAACCATGATCTACGACGGGCCCAACTTCACTGCTCCGCCATCTCGCCCAGAGGCTCCGATGACATCCCACGGACCCCCGCGATCGCGCCCAATGTCCATCATCTCCTTCGATAATTGGTCTTCCCCGACACGAAGAATGAGCCAGCGCATCTCCCGTCGGTTATCGGTTTTTTCTTCGCGTGGCAAACCTACTACCTCCCAGGCCGCCAGCATATCCTCGCCGAATCTGATCGGTTCATCAACTCAATACGGAAACAGGAGCCAAGCTTCGTTCATTTAATGTCCCGAAAATTATCATATCATCATCAAAGAAGAAATGCATCGACTTCCCATCTATGAGCATGGCGTCGGTGCTCAGTTCGTGCAATACACGGCTATTCGTACATACATGCGCAAGGGGTGTTCCGGGCATACTCTCATTCTTGCATTTTGCGCTTTTTTTTCTTTTCTGCGTCTGCTATATCCATCGAATTTTTGAGGTGGGCGGCGATTATTTTCATTTTATTAATCGCTAGTTCGTGTTTTTTTGAGGTTTTGTTTCTACGTCTGCTTGACTTGCGCATAGCTCGGTGTTTTGGGATTAAGAATTTTTGGGGATTTCTGGATTTCTGGATTTCTGGACTTATTTGAAATATTGGGCTTTATTTCTCCCCTTGACATATCAGAATAATATATCATATACAGAACCCCTTGAAGAGACTGTACATTTCGAGTCGACTAGATACGCTAATTGCGCCACCATGCAAGCGTTTTACTCTAAGCTAAGCAATTGCCGGCTAACGTTAGCCCGTTAACCAATGCCTAAAAATAAAGGCTGAAAAACGTCTGAGATTATGTATTCTAAATGCGACCGAGATATATGAAACAGACAATAAATCAATAAATGCCTCGAACTTGTAAAAGTATGTACCCGTGACCGCAACGTAGATGCCAAGGTGGGAAGAATGATCGGGACGGTAAAATTGGCTGCCATGTTTGGAATGGCCCTGCATTGTCATTTAAGGATCACTAAAAATAAATATAAAAAAAAGGAATGGATCTAATAGCAAAGCAGTATACGGAGTAACTATGGCGCACCTAACATAGGGATATAGGGATCTTGCAGGAATAAGGAGTAATTAGTCCTAGCACCGCATGCCAAGGCCCCATAATAAAGGAAGGAAAAATACCAGAAGCAATACCATATACACTACACTACCATTGTCGCTACTCGGAATATTGAAGCAGAACAGTAATAGCTAGGATGCACACGAACCACCCACATGGGCGCAAGCTACCAAGAAAGCTCATCTTGCACTATCGGAGCAATCTTCGTATTCATATTAATTCTACAACCTACCCAGAAAAAACTAAAGGAGAAGTTGCTGCCATATTTCGAAAGTTGTATGAACTCCATGTTATTGTTCGCTCTCTGCTCGAGGTCAGGACCGCGCATGTTTTTGCACTTATCTACGAGAATACTCTTCCGCTTATGCGGCCTTGTCATGTATTCTTGTTGCTCTTTCAGATGCTCAATTTACATGCTCTTTCTAGGTATACGGTAAAAAAAAAAGCATGTTCTGTGAAAGAGACTTTTCTGTGTATAACCTATAGCTAGATAGCTCTGAAATAGTCTGATAGTCGCGGACAACATGTTCAGCAATGACTAGGACACAAGGAATGCCTTTGTCTGATATAGTCTGGGAGGAAAGTGATAGCAGTTCATCGCACAAGCTAGGATTAAGAAGTCAGTAGAGTCGCACTGAGTTGCTGAATAGGATAGATACCTCATCCTGACTCTCTGAGGACGAAATAGTATCCACACCTGTACCGTACCTGGCATCCCCACTCTACAAAAACAATATTTTTATCAACAAGAGATTTTGCAGCTATCTCAGTGGAAATAAAAGTGTGACAATGTATATTGTATGTATGGAGTAGTGGAGGATCGACAAAAGCTATCGGGTCACCTGATGGACAGAAGAAGAGGTGAGCGCGGGCCATGTACTAGTCCAAATTTGGCAAGGGACCTCGGGGGAAACGCGGGGAAAAAGTTTCACAGTTAGGTCATCAACCCAAAAGGGTATCCTGTAGGTCCTGATCGCTCAATTTCAAGGAAGGATAACCGAGATCCTTGCGTCACCGGTCGGCTGAGGGGTGGTTTAATTGGAAGAAAAGTGTTAGATCGTCAGTCCGTCGGTTATAATTGCTTTCGCTTTTATGGACTTATGATTAACAGGGTGGAAACAATATAAAACTTATATATAGACCCTTGTAGAGGTCTTTGCTATTGAGTGGAATCTCCACTTTCAGGGCTAATATTGGGTTAACTGGCCTATAATTGGCATCTCTAACATCATTTGTAGAGGCGTCATACAGATATCCTTTAACCTATTCCATCTTTCCGCAGAGTGAGACTAATGAACACAAACAAATGCTTAAATTGCAAAACTTGCTCCTTAAATAGATAAATATAAACACCGGAAAAGTACATATATGCAGACTAAGTTGACCTGAAAGGGATATATTTAGATTACAAGTCACTTCTTTGTACACAGAGCCTCTGTATGTCTAGGCCAAGTGATGATTCGGAATACTACGCCTCTATGCACATATAGGTTTCTAACGGATGATATTGCATGTCTCGTGAGTAGATGGTATAGGGCTATAAGCCACAAGGGAAATTTGAGCACCAGGGAAACACCGTCTGAAAACACCAGAATCAACTCACAAAGCATCCGAGTAAGAGAATGCAAGGTCGAATACTCCGTACAGAAACCTTATGATGCTAAGAAGGTGTGTCTGTAGAATCCAAAAAAAAAAAAAAAAAAAGAATATCCAAAGCCAAATCCCACGTATAATACGCCATAGTAATCCCAGCCCCGATGTATCTAGAAAATGGAGCCAGTCCATGCACCTCGGAGACGCACGTGCAACCGACACGGCATCTCCCCTGACCTGGGTCCTGCCCTATCTAGCGGTAAATCTCAAATCAAAGAGTCACGCTCTCGAGATCACGCATGACGATACCCATTTGAGCACGCTTGGCTGCCTCAGCGACGAGATTGAAATCCTGCAGAAAGGGCGCTGTAGCAGTTGGACCCCCAAGACCATTTATCTGATGGGGATAGGCATCGGATGTGGGCGCCGGAGCGGGGGCTGCATGCGTAGGTAACGATGCTTGGGCGTTGGCTGCGGGGGGCGATGGGAAGGGTGCTCGGGTTGGAGGTGTTTCCAAACGCTTGTGACAAGGGTTGCATGGGAGGGGCGGAGGTCTGCGGGGAACAGGCAGATTGTAGCGAGGGTGAAGAAAACACCTGCCTGGTCGCATTTGATGCGATTTCTAGGGTATTTTGAGCCTCGGCTGTCATGGTGGACTGACCGGTTGAGGAAGAGGGATGGAAGGAGGTGGGTTGGACGAGAGGTGCTTGAGGGTTGTAAGCTGTCCGCAGGGTCGAGTCCATGACGTGACTGTAGCGGTCCGATCTTCAAAATGCAAAAAGAATAGGTCGCCGTGGACGTGGAGTTGGGTAGATGGATATAACGGGAGGGGGAAGAGGTTGTTGCTATGGACAAAGACGCGGCGGGGGATCAAGAGTGGAAAAGAAAGCAGAGTGGTAAAGGAAATCGAACCCGTTCGAGGATGCAAATTGCACAAGGCTCAGACGAATTTAGCCGGCGGGGGTAATTTCCACTAGGCAGATGCTCGACGAACAACCAAATCGCAGAAAAAGAAGCGACGAAAAGAGGAAGATAATCTAGAACTTGAAAGTCAGAGATTTACACATGATCTCTCAGGGGTGCATATGACATTTGAACGCAGTTTTTCCCTCCCGAGATTTATCCGTTGGGGGGTGGAAGGGGGTTTGGTCGGGGATTTCATGGTATTGCACGGTATTGTACGGTATTAGGACCGTATCTCCACGCTTTTCTCCGCACTATTTTACATACACGATGTACATATGTATCCAATCACGTGGTAGTATCATGCACGTGATCTTGGTGTTACATTTAGCCAAGTAATGTAACAGTCAATCCAGGGATAGTCACGATAATTACAACTTTCTCGGTGTGAAGAGTGATGATCAGCCAATCTAACCTTGGCAATGACATTGTCTGATTGTCTAATACCTCGGGAAGCCGAGAGACCCGCTGTTAGCCCACACCTACATGCAACTTTTATATATATTGATGCCTGAGGCAACTACGAACGTACTCCGATAAGAAATTGATAACTGATATAATTTTTTCCCCTCCAAATCATTGAAGTCATACATAACTACAATGGCTGACGAATTTGATTCGGGGAATTTATTCCAGGACCCAGAAGGGTACTATCCCGAAGATGCACCCCCCACATTTGCCGAGCACTCCATGCTGTCGGGCCAGAAAGTGCGCGTCCGTCTTGTGGGCAGCCACCCCCTCTATGTATGATATCAATTGACATGACCAGCCGAGGTGCCTACTTACAGAACTTGACAGGGAAATTTGCTATGGAACGCTGGCCGAACTAGCTCTCATTACATTGAGCAGCACACCGAGGATCTCATCCGAAACAAGGATGTCCTCGAGATTGGTGCCGCTGCAGGCGTTCCCAGCATTGTGAGCGCCATTCAGGGCGCTCGAACTGTGGTATTGACCGACTATCCTGATCCAGACCTTGTTGAAAACATGAAATACAACGCAGAGTTGTCAGCCAGTGCTATTCCAGCGCGGGAAGACGGGAAACCCCGCCTTCACGTCGATGGCTACAAATGGGGCGGCGATGTGACCCCGCTGCGGGCGTATCTTCCTCCTGCTGCTGATGGCTCTCCATCCTTGTTTGACGTCTTGATCATGGCGGATGTGGTATACAGTCACCGTGAACACCCGAATCTGATCAGAACCATGCAGCAGACCATGAAGAAAGACCCGAAGTCTGTTGCTCTGGTTATTTTCACCCCCTACCAGCCCTGGCTATTGCCCAAGACCGAGCAATTCTTTCCTTTGGCCGAGGCGAGCGGGTTCACTGTCACCAAGATCTTTGAGAATGTGGTGGATGCTGTGCTGTTTGAGGAAGATCCTGGTGTAAGTCTACATTTTGAAAGTTATCTGGATTATGGTAATGGCCATGGTGCTGACTCTTTGCAGGATGAAAGGCTTCGAAGAACTGTATTCGGATATGAAATCCGATGGGCGCAGGAGGAATTGGAGGATTCATCCAAAACTGTTTGAGCCGTTGATTTGATACCCCCGGCCTAGTTGGAACGATGACATGATTACATGACAAAAGTTCGATCGAATCTATATATATTGAGATCGAGATCTGTTCTAGAAAATAGAAATACAAGTACCATCTCTGTATAAAGCACCGGACCTAAATATCACTGCCTCATACTTCAGGCCTCGATTTCATTATGGTAACCCTTCCACTTTTACTTATTCTCTCTATTCCTATATCCGCATTAGTAAATAGCATTTAATACAACAATAATACCAATTAAGAAAATGAATCCATATCTCCATGACAGAGCGTATAGATGGTTCGTGGATATTGTTGTAGATGCGGGTCACATGCCACATCCCCCGCATAAAAAAAAAAAAGTCCACCTGAACAAACACCGCAACTACCAACGATGCCGGTACGTGGAGAAACCTCTTAAATTCTGCAATTCCAATCTGACAAATAAACATTCAGCTCGTCGTTTTAACGGGATACCCGTGCTCCGGTCTTACCCACCGCGCCAACCAACTCGCATCTCTGTTTGAGAAACACCAAGATGAAGTATTCGCAGCAGCCGAAGCAGGCGCGCAGGTCTCCTTAAAGTCTCGATACAAGGTCCATGTGGTCGCTTCACACGATTCATCCCACCCCCGGATTGTCTACGACCATGCCCGCACCGAGAAGGAGGCGCGCGCCGTCGCCTACGCCAGAACCAAGCGTGTGCTCAAGCGGGACAGCATCGTCATCCTCGACGGAATGAACTATATCAAAGGATGGAGGTACCAGCTGTGGTGTGAGGCGAAAGCTGCGCAAACTACATGCTGTGTGGTACGAGATCAGAACATACACAATGAATTGCTTGCGACACCCAATAGCTGACAAGTCTGCTATAGGTTCACGTCGGGACACCCGTCGACCAGTGCGTCGCCAACAATGACGCCCGACTACGCCGAGACGCCAACAAGCAAGCAGATCCAACGACATCGGATGCGAAGACCTCCGACACCCAAAATACCCCCGCACCTGATTCCGCAGAGTCTACCGAGGACACCGAGGAGGCCTACCCATCTGAACTGCTCAACAACCTCATCTTCCGCTACGAGGAACCAAGCACCCACAGCCGCTGGGATAAGCCCCTGTTCACAGTCCCCTGGGCCGACGCAGAACCCCCGGTAGCAGACATATTCGAAGCCTTGACAGGCGTAGTCCTCCCATCAACCGAAGCTCCTACCGAAACAGCCCTCCCAAACCTAATAGACTCCCTCAAATCCACCACCATCTCAGACGTCGCCAGCACAGCAACCGGTACTCGAGGTGGCGGCCGCGGCGGGCTCTCAACACGCGCCCGGATCATCCCTCACCAAGCCACCGTGCAAGCAGCGGCAACAGACTCCAACGCAATGTATGCAATGGAAAAGCGGACGTCCGGGGTTGTGACTGCCATCCGCAATTTCACGCAGGCTTACCCGTCCGCGGAAGTAGCGCTTGCGCAGAGCAGTCGTAACGATGCAATCGCCATTGAGGTTCCCGAGACAGCTATTCCCATCCTTGTTCCGTCCCATGTCGCCATGTCTGGGACGACAGATGAACTCGCCGCTGCTGGTGGAATATTGACTTTACCGCGGCTGCAGAGGCTGCGTAGGCAGTGGATTAGCTTGAACAGATCGTATATTGGTAGGGGTCATGGTTCTGGAGGCGGTGCGCTGTCGGTTGATCAGATTGCGGACGCGTTTGTGCGGTTTCTCAATGCTGAATTCTCGGGTGTGGTTGCGGAGAATGCTGAAGAATAGATGCTTTGTATTTGAGTAGGACAGATAGATTAGATGTCTTTTTCATTAGAAAGAGTCAGTTGGTAGTTATGAGATAACGAGGTTATGACTTGCATACGCTTCAGATCTACCTAGTACAGATCTAGATATATACGTGTTTAAGGATGGAGTGCAAACATTTGAAGTAAAAAAGGTCATTTGAAACAAAATACAAGAACGCAACCACTATCTATCAAAATCCAAAATCCAAAAATCCAACCAATTGTTGGACAATACATGGCTATATCTCTCTTTACTGTCATTCTTCTTCCCTTTTTGAGACATCGTATCCCGCTTTGCTGTTTTCCTCCACATAAGTTTCGGGTCTTTTGTGTCGCTGGGATGGTTTTATCCATGGACCTGGAGTGCAGCCCAAGAAGCTCAGAAGCCCTTAGTGCTGAATCCAGATCCCCATGTGGTGAGCAGCTTGTGACCGGGGGGTTGGGGCGGATCAACAAGCTCTCAAGCGTGGGGGGTGGGGTACCACGCTGGTTCCTATCCAGTTCCTGGCCGTATCCATTTGTGGAATCGGATTGTCTTTGTCTGATGAGGGGATCAGGTTGAGACAATCCTTTTGGCCGAAGTTCACTTGTGTACTCGCGAGCGATCGCACTGGGTTCCTCCATGTATCGAAAGTGCCTGGCCAGCAAGCAGCACGGTCTAGCCGTGGAGTAAAAAGGAAATCAAGAAAAAAGTTCTCCGGTGAAGTTTGTTCGTGTCGTTTCAAAGAAAACCGCTGTTCTCCTCCAGGAAGGAGGTCTACAGCTTCTTAACACTTCAAGGCAATCCATTGGGCATGTGGGCCTGGCTGGCCTCGATCTGGCGGTAGTTCAAACCCAGAGTGAACAGCTCCTGGAAATTGGCGTTGACCTTCTCGTGCATGGTAGTATCCCGAGGGGAGATGTTACCCAGCTCCTCCAGCAGACGCGAGCGGCACTTGAAGAAGTTCTGCTCGGCATTCTGGAGGCGCTGTCCAAGGCTGGCGGAAGCCTGGGTGGCCTTGATGGAGCTAGCCTGGGAGTGGATGGAACGGGTGCGCTTCATGGTGGGAGCCGGGGTTGCACCGGTGACTCTTCTCTTGCGGGTAGCGGGTTCCTTCTTCTTGATCTGACCAGCGCCGGGGGAAGTCTCAGGCGAGCTGTGGCGCTCGGAGGTGGCATAGTCGTGCACACGACGCATGTGGTCGTAAAGGTTCCATCTCCTTGGGAATCCATTTCCTGGAACGGCGCGTTCACAGCCCTCCCACAGGCAAAGGTGGGGGTTATCTCCATGGCCATGCAATCCGTGGGCTTCACGCTCGTGGCGGAACAGACAGGCGTTGGAAGAGAAGCGCAGCTGGGCATCAATGCAGGCGGGGACCTTGCAGCGGTAAGGCTTCAGATGGGAATCCAGGTACTTGCTGTTAATTGATATCGGTTAGCTGGGTTCAGATTACACCAAAGATTTTTCATCACGGGAGGACTTGCTGGTAAGCGCATTTTTGCGTGGTGGGCGGGTGGTTGCAGGGCTTCTCTCCAGTGGCAAATGGACAGTAATATTTTCCATCGCTGTGGGTGGACATGGAATAGTACTGGTGCTCTCGCGGGTTGCGAGCCTCGACACCTTCCTTGGATCTCTGGCGGGTTGGCTCTCTCACTGGCAAGGTTGGGAAGAAATCTGGATCAGTCTTTACTTGGTGCTGAGAAACAGCTGACAATGCTGAACGGCGGGATGGCTTTGAAGGTCTGATAGTCCTACGGTATAGTGGTTAGGCTTCTGATCCAATGGGTTGTCTTCCAGCCTATCAGTTTATCTGAAACTCACCTGTTAAGATCTCTGTCGTTAAGAGAAGAGCTGGGGAACAAAGGCTCCGCTGGGTTAAGTCCGTGAGTCGTTCCAATGGGCGATGTGGTAAAGTCTCCGAGCAGTGCATCATCAGGGGCCATGAATGAAGTGTACCCCGCGTGTGAGCAAGAAGAAGTGACAGACATATCATTGCTAGCGTCGGTCAGTGGTGGAGAGACCGGGGCGGTCTGGAAAAGACCGGACGAGAATTGCTCCATGGTGGTTCCTGGATAATGGGCATCATGCATCATTGGAGTCCATGACTCTGGGCCTGTGATATAGTGACCATCCTCGGTACTGTGAGAGCTGTGTCCGATGGAAAGAGCATCATCTGGCGTGCTATTTCCGACACAGACATCATTTTCAACAGAAGAGAAATCCAGGAAGGAGTTATAAAGATCCCGGGACATTTCATGGTCATTCATGTCAGGGACTGCTGGGAAGTCCATGCCTGGGTACATAACATCATTTGGTCCGACCGTGGGGGTCATGAGCTGCTGAGACAGCGAGAAAGAAAGCATGTGCACCTCGGATGAGTCTGGTTTTGAGATAGCCTGGTCAAGGGATTCTTGGTGGTTCATTGTCCAGTCTTTCATGTCCTGTGGATTTCCATGGGCTGTACGGATACTTGAGCACAACGAGGAGTTGTCATGGCTCGACATTTCATCATCCTGGATTGATCTTGAGGCCATATTTGAGATTCCTGAAGCCATGGAGGTATGCATGGACTGTGAGATAGAGACTCGGTCAGAGTCGCTGGTGGTCCTTGGAGACATTGTGTGGTTGTATATAAAACACTGTAAACCAAGAGTTAGTAACTACTACTCATCATCAAACAATGAAATAAGCAAATCAAAAAGAAAAAGAAAAGAAAAAGAACTCCATGGTCCAGGTGTTATTGAAAACCTAGTCAGAGTCAGTAATGAGATAAGGGGTCGTGTCACGGTTTAGGTATACGCACCAAAGTCGCTTTTGTGGATTCAAAGTTCCTTGGCCGACCAGGGATTATCATGAGGTCCTGGTCAAATTTGCCGTGTCTATGTTCGGGTCCAGGTCTGTTGTCAATCCAAGAGAGTGCTAAGTGGTGCCAGGGCGAGAACCAGTTTCATGGCCAGAATTACTATTTCAAGCATCATCCAGGTGAATCCAGGTAAGTAAAAGGAAGTCGTTCATTTTTGTGGCCAGATCAGGTAGGTACACAATGGCCAGGGTCCATAAAGCAATAGCGCAAGCAAGAGTTGAGAAAGCGGATGCTTTTAAAAGGCCATAATTGACAGGGAGCAAGCACATTAGCTTGAAAGATTCCTCGGTTGATTCCTTGGGGTCAAATGGATCCATTATTGTTGAGATAAAGCGGCCATAATAGCATCAGATTTCCAGGCAAAGAGTCATAAATTTCAAAGTCCTTAAGTGGTTCATGTGGTTCATTCCAAGGGCGTTGTCTCCAGGAGCAATGGGGATCCAAGGCTATATCAAAAATCCGCACTCAAAACTCCGGTCTTAGAGCAGAGGCAATATGAAAAGAAGAGAAACATCCATGGCAGTCCAGTGGCAGTGGAAGTCAGGCGATTTTTTGAGTGTGCAACATTAAACACATCTCAAAGAGATTCACTCAGCAGGTGCTGAAGGCAGGTATCCTTGGTAGGGGGTTCCCTATTCATAGTCGCCAAAGATCGGCCGAAAGTCCGGGAGTGGGAGTAGGTCTAAGGTCCTGGGAAATAGGTTGTCGATATCCTTGGCAAGCACAGTTGATAGTGGTACAGGTCCGGAAGAGAGAGAGAGAGAGAGAGAGAGAGAGAGAGAGAAGGAGGAAAAAAAAAGAACAACGCATAGGAGAACCAATTGTAAAGAAAATGTGACGGGAGCTACCTATTGTGTTTTGTCGAAATGTGGCAGACTAAAGAGAAGCCTGGGAGATAACAAGAAAACAAATCCTGTCCGGGAAGTATATGGCAGAGAGAAATCCTTGTGGCAGTGATTTTATCAAAAACCAGGGAGTTTTGGGTTAAGAAAGAAGCTGTCCTTGGTCCAGGGACTGAGTTGTTGTATGTGTTGAGAAGTATATATAAAAGTGATACAAGGTATTGTAGAAGAACGGGTATCCAGAGAGTTAGGGAAGAAAGAAAAAGGAGAATCAGAATGGAGGGGGATCAGCGGCCTTTTAGCACACAAAAAAAAAATGAAAGCTCGGACTTTGGAGGGTCTGTGGACCATCAAACATGGCGTGTGCCAGTTTTGCATCGTGCAGGAGATGAGTGCGCTGTTGGCACCCTGAGAGCCAGTACTACAGACTGGCGGTGATGGTAATTGCAGATTAGGGGGGGGTTCGTTTGACTGAGTGGAGGGATATTTACTAGCGGTGAGACGGGCTCGGCGTCTTGGGTGCTTGGCGAGAAGTATGATTGGTGACCAGGAACAGGCTGACGCTGTATGATGTTGTCCGAATTGGACGATCGGCAGGTGCACTCGCGTGTTCGATGAGATGTACAACTCAGTTGCACCTGGGCAAGTATCGTATGGATGACAGAATCCCACGTCGGTAATGCGGGAAAGTATACCTGCAGCGTGAGGTCACATTGTACAGTTGAGACTCGAACATTACAGTGAAGCAAGAATAAATAATATATAAATGGTAAATGTGATTGTAAATGTGATATAACTAAGATTACTGGACAACGGGACGGGGCGAGCCAGGGAGCCAGACCCACGTTGGGCAGCAATGCAGGCATTTCCTATTCTCAGGTCTTTTTTTTTTTCGTTAGCCAAGTTCAAAAGAAGTAATGCATGGGGAAAAAAGTTGAATATCAAGGTTGATAGGATCAGAAAAATGAAAGATGGAATATGTTTTCGTTCAGCAATCCGAAGATCTCAGGTGAACTATGCTTTAAATATTGTTTGTTCATCACAAAAGGCGAAATGCCCTTGGGAAACAGCGTAGGGACGTTGATTTCAAAAAAAAGTAAAGAATGGGCTTACCTGTTAGCGGGAATTGTCGGAAGAGAAAAGGGATGAGTTGTCATGAAACACAAGTCATCTCCAAGGCTGGGATGACAGTCTGGGATTATGATTGACGGAGAAAAGGAAGAAGAAAAGGAAGAAAATATTTTTTTGTAGCTGAGATCACGTGTTGTATACAGGTTTGTATGGTTTACACTGTTTGCTTTTATTTTGAGCAAACAACCATATCCTCAACTGACGTTGGAGACCCGTTGGAGACTTTATCCACTCTCCACTCTTCATTCCTTGGCATTATGAATTGGACAGGCGGCCAGCTGCAACGTCATCACAATCGCTCAGGCCTGTTGACCAAAGCTCAGAAGCAAAATTTTGCCAGGGCGAGACTCCAAAAGGGCACGGTCATCCCCCATTTCGAGACTTCCCTGATATTGCATTTAAGGGCTCGAGCACTAGAGACAAGGATGAGGATGAGGAGGCAGAGACAACTGGAAATCAGTCAGTCAAGAACTGTTGATTGCTTTGACATTGTTTCCACCAATCCATGTGGTCGTCCTTGTACTAACCCATGCTCGTGCTGATTTTAGAATTACGGAAGAGCCGGCCTTACATAAGACTGATGGTCAGTCCTCTCATAGTGATGACTTGACCATGGTCAAGCGCCAACTGCTGAAAGAACCTGATTGGGCCGCTGTGTCTGCTACACGTCCACTCGAGCTTGCATTTACATCCGTGGAGGAAGTCGAGCGGTTTGGGAAGCGACGAAAGCTAAATGACAAGGACAGAAAACGGCTGGTAGCAGCTAACAACAACGGGTCTACTTTTTTTGAGCGACCCAAACCCTCACGAAGAGGCAGACATTCATCCTTGGTGATCGATAGCATTGAAGAAGACATCCAGATTGGGATGAACGGACGACCCGTTGCGCAATCTAATGACAGCTCCGGGGTCGCCATGAACAGCATATCATCACAGTCAATGCTACTTGACCATGAAGGATCTCCTACTGTGGAACAGGACATAGGGAAAGAGAACCTGACAGCTACATGGATTACCAATCTCTTTCCCCGCTCGCAACGACCCCCGCGCGGGGCTATGCCCAGCAGTGTATAATGTTGAACGCTCATTTTCATTTAGAAAGTCAGATGAAGTCAGACGAATGGCACATTTTCTCGGTTTACATATCAGGTGGATGTACACGGGGGGCCGCCTTCTCTGGGGCGACCTACTAGCCACATTAGACTGGTAGTAATGTCAGTGCCGTTAGATCTTTCTGAGGTCTGCAACACCGCCTGAAGCACCTGGGCACCTAGGAGAACGATTAATACACCAACTATACCACCCAACGAATAGACCACTGAAATCCCTTACAAAATCCACTTCCCATGCTATTCTACATGTTAGTTATAAATTCTCATGTCCCTGTAGAACAAGGATTGTACCTGCTTTTTGTTTCTACATATAGATCTAAATTTCCGCATTAGGTCATCACATGATGCCTTTCGAGGCAACGTCATTTCCGTCTCCACATCTTGAGTTATCAACGGCACTGACACCTCGAAGATCCCTTGTCAGTTCCATCCTTCAAGCATGCGTTCTCTCACACTTTTGGCCGCACTGGCCACCAACGCTCTCTCAATCGCGCTCCCATGGCAATCCGCCACAGATACAGCCAGCGGAACCCAGCTCCCTCTCGTGATCTGGCACGGTCTAGGCGATGATTTCGAACGCGAAGGGCTGGCCGAGGTTTCCAAATTAGCCGAATCCACCAACCCCGGCACATACGTGCACCTTATCCGACTAGCCAACGACGGCAGCGGAGACCGCTCCGCAACCTTCTTCGGCAACGTAACGGAGCAAATCGCCCTAGTCTGCGACCAGCTCGCCGCGGACCCGATCCTCAGCACGGCGCCTGCCGTCAACGCACTAGGCTTCTCGCAGGGCGGCCAATTCCTCCGCGGGTACATCGAGCGCTGCAACAGCCCACCCGTCCACAACCTCGTCACATTCGGCAGTCAGCACAACGGCATCTCGGCGTTTGAGTCGTGCGCCTGGGACAATTGGTTCTGCAGAGGGGCCGAGCAACTCCTGCGATCTGGACGGTGGACGAGCTTTGCGCAGTCGCGCGTCGTGCCGGCGCAGTACTTCCGCGACCCGGAGGAGCTGGAACCGTACCTGGAGCACAGTAATTTTCTGGCGGATATCAATAACGAGCGCGCGGTTAAGAATGAGACGTATAAGAAGAATCTGGCGTCGCTGAATCGGTTTGCCATGTTCATGTTTGAGGAGGATACTGTTGCTGTTCCTAAGGAGAGTGCTTTGTTCTCTGAGGTTAATGTCACTAGTGGTGAGGTGACGCCTCTGCACGAGAGGCCGATCTACAAGGAGGATTGGCTGGGACTGAAGCAGCTTGATGAACAGGGGAAGCTGGACTTCAATACTGCCCCTGGACAACATATGCACCTGTCTCAAAAGACCCTGAGCAAGGCTTTTAGTCAGTACTTTGCTCCGCTGGAGAAGGAGCTGCGTCCTTCAGCGCCGGGTCTCGTTGTGCAGCCCGGGCTTTGATCGTTCTCTCTGCTCTTGAGCGTTTTATTTATCATGATATCCCAACTGCATGTGCTTCATCTTTTAGATACTAGCATCAAATCTGGAAGTCTCGTCCAATGCCGCATATGGCTGGTTGACTACAGATTTATAAAACTACGATGTCTTGCTATGTTCCTTCTAGCACCATCTATTTTATGTCTATCGACAATGTAGCTAGATACACCAAGCTGCGATTACTCATCGCAAGTTAACAAATAAAGAAATGTGAGTGTCGACGGACAAATAAATACCAAGAGCCCGAGCTTTCGAAATAAAATATGCAAGTGGGAAAGAAAAAGACATCAAGGATAGACATTGAAGGGGGAAAATTGACAGATCAGAAGGGACATTTGTATCTCGAACAAGTTGGAGTTTTACCAGCCAGCACAACTCAGAATTCGAGATGAGCGAATACAAGACCCATGCAAGGCAGGGCAGGACGAGTGAAAAGGAAGAAGAACCTATGACAAAAAGAAAATTATATAAACATATGAAGAGCCAGGAAATGAAAATGGCTGCAAAAATGACTGGAGAATGATGCAAAAGTGCAAATCAAACAAGAAGATCAATAGGGTGGCCGACCAAGGCCTCCGCTGACCTGTCGTCTGCGGTTAGATCCGCTCAGCGGAGCCTTAGAGGCAGGGTTGGCGGTTGTCGGACGGTTTCCAATCGTCGTTGCGGTCTCGCTGGGCGAGAGGAACCCATCCAAGAGCTTCCTTAGCTGATCTTGGTGGTTACCATCTAGGGAATCGGACTCATAGTCGGTTAACAGTTCGGGAATTCCAACTGTGGCAAGGCTGTAGTTGGACCGGCTCTTGTTGCGGTTTAGAGGCTTGTTGTTCAAGGCACTGGCTTCAGCCCTATCTCTCACCGCCGAGGGACCCGGCGCGGTGTATGGGCGATTATATGAGCCCAGCGAGCGCTGTGCGTCATTCGGTAAACCACCTGGGATCGACAGGCCGACTGGGATTGGTGGGACGGGAGGGATTTCTGTGTTTGAATCAACGCGATTCTGGGATGGCTCACTCGGGGATTCGTCGGTTGGGGCTCCATCTCCTGATAGGACAAATGCCGCGGCCGAAGCGCGGGGTGTCTCTGTTCCATCTTCCTCGGGTGTTTGTCGACTCTCCGGTTGTATTGAGGTGGCATCTCCGTCTATCTCGGAAACAGAGAAGTTGCCGCTGACCATGCTATCGCTCCCGGAAGAAATAATACTAGAATTCGACGCGTCAAGTCGTCCGCGTAATGGACTAAGGCGTCGAGCATGGTCGTCGTTAGTAACCGAAAGCACGCGTCGAAGCTCATTAACGCGAACAGGCGAGCCTCTGCTCGAGCCGTGGGATGATGAACCTGATATCTCTGGAACGCTCATGCGGCGGGGAAATTGGGAGCCGGCGGGTGAGCCATTTGTAGCCCCGTTGGTTTGGGTTTGGTTGTTGCGAGCATTTTGAGTGGCCCGAGAGCCATTGATCGATGGCGTTCCAGTGCTTTCCTTATCGACAGCTGCCAGACACGCCTCGCGAGACCACGGAGACAACATCTGTTCTTTTACGACAGACGGGAGGCCACTCTCAACCTGGGATGTCACTGTTGCTGCGGGGTGCCCAAGGACCGGGAATGTGAATCCACGTGCCGTAGAAGAAGCCGAGGGGCTCTGTGGAGGAGACGATATCGATTTGCGATATGATTCTTCAATCAAATAGACAAGTCCGTCAACATTACAGAAGGGTGCTAATGTAGGCGGGGAGGAGTCATTGTCAAACCTCTCCTCGCTGTCAAAGACAATGGCATCAAGATCGACTGGGGGCAGGCGGATTTTGGAAAGCCAATATCCCTTGGCCTGTCGCTCTTGGATCTCGTTACTTATCTCAAGGCCCACTGGGGAGGACTGCATTTCGAAATGCTCAGACAGCGCCAGAAGGTATCCGTGTACCAAGCTTCCAATGTTAACGCGAGCTGCGACGGAACTCAAATCTACAGATGTAAACAAGTCGTCTTGCAATTTAAGGACCATAGGAATACCGAATTGAGCGGCATTCACCCCGAGGTTGTTGACAAGATTTGCAAGAAGAAGATGCAGCAGAAGAATCTCGGCTTCCTCGGCAGCTGCCTCGAGTGCAGCATCGTAGATAGCCAGGTGCAGAAGACGGAGGAAGTTCGACTGTGCCACCAGCGCCACTTTGTCCCTCTGATTCGCAGGGGCCGAGTTACCTCGTCGATTCGACCTCTCCACCTGCTCGGTGTCTTTTTTGGGGGTTGTCTTGATGTACTTGGGTGAATCCAATCTGACCTTGAGGTCATTCGCATTTGTCTCAATCCGCAGCCATGATAGGAATGCATCGGCGTATGCATAGCGAACATCACGATCCGGATCACGAAGAAGTACTTGGGTTCCTTCCCACACATGGATTCCGACTGGCTGTCTAGATTCCGCGCCAGACATGGTTGCGAGCGTCCTTGAGTTGGCCACAATCAAGATAGCCTTGACGGATCGCAGAGCAGTCAGTTTGGCAGCAGCATGCGAGAAGCTTTCTGTGCTTGCTTTGTCTCCATTTGTCTCGGATACGGAATTTGTTGAACCATCATGTGCCACTCCAGATTCGTGAACGGTTGCCAATGTGGATGGCGCGGAACCATCATGGTGGAGATTAGGCTTGAAACGCCTAAGAATAGCACGCATCATGTCCGCGATTTGGTCTCCGTAGTAGATGTGCGTTGCAAGATCGCCAATACACTGCTCCAGTAGCGTAAGAAGATCCTGTCGCCGGGGAGAGATTTGCACCACGGTGTCAATTTGTCGATTTGATTTCTTCTCTGATTCCGCAGACCCAGTACGCTCCGGCGGTGAGAGTATATCAGAAGCGTAATGCATGAGTCCAAAGAGGATGTCCATGACGCTGAGTCCAATCATGTTCACAGAAGACCTGAGAAGCCAATCCACCACGGAGAGAATGGTGAATGATGACTCTAAAGCATCCTCCTTGGGGCTTGTATTATGGAGAATCTCCATAGCTGTGATCAAGATGATAAAACGAACTTGCACCGGACACCAGTTCGCAATGAGTTCGATCAGAGATGTTGTCCAGTTGCCACTTTTGCCATCGGAGGTCTCAACCCGCTTTTCGCTTTGTGGGAAACCCTTGCTTGCGATGAACTGTAGAATGACCGTTACTGCAATACGGATCTGGCCCCGATTACTTCCCGAGGCGATGGTTTGCTCGAGACAGCGGAGAGCCAAGAGGCGAGCGTCTAGTTCTGCCTTTCGATCCGCTTCAGCGGCTGACTGCGCTGCCAGCTCGGGGTCACCCTCTGTCGTGTCCACTGTGTGCACCGTGTTGATGCTCAGTCGGCGGGGTTTGGGCCCCTCACGTTCAGTTGGGTCAGATTCGGTCAGCTTGGCCTTCAATGTTGGAAGAAGATCCTCATCTTCAGAATAGAGGTTCTTCAGAATAACCGGCAAACAGAGCTTCAGCGATACTCCTCCATCAGCGGCCAAGGTCTCTGAGCTGACCACAGCTTTAATA